CACGGACGTCCTTGAGGACAGACAGGAGGAGTTCCAGTGTCTTGCTGCTGCTTTGCCCCGTCTCGTGTCCTTGCTAGTTGCCCCTGAGGGAGACCCGGATGCACCAGACATCCCGACCCCGCGCACTTACGCTGAGGCGATGGCGGGTCCCTACTCCTCTCAGTGGCAGACAGCCATGGACGCCGAGATGGCTTCCTGGAAGTCCACACGCACCTACGTCGACGAGGTCCCCCCTCCTGGGGCGAACATCATCAGTGGCATGTGGATTTTCAGGGTGAAGCGGCCGCCGGGTTCTCCGCCTGTCTTCAAGGCGCGTTACGTGGCTCGAGGCTTCAGTCAGCGAGAGGGAGTTGACTTCTTCCAGACCTTCTCCCCCACCCCGAAGATGACTACTCTTCGGGTGCTGCTGCACATAGCCGCTCACCGCGACTACGAGCTTCACTCACTTGACTTCAACACTGCTTTCTTGCAGGGCAGCCTACACGAGGAGATCTGGTTGCGCCGCCCACCTGGCTTCACTGGATCGTTTCCTCCTGGTACCCAGTGGAGGCTTCAGCGGCCGGTCTACGGTCTCCGCCAGGCTCCGCGTGAGTGGCACGACACACTGAGGACTACACTTGCGGCTCTTGGGTTCACGCCTTCTACAGCTGACCCGTCGCTGTTCCTGCGCACCGACACTTCGCTGCCGCCGTTCTACATCCTCGTGTACGTCGACGACTTGGTCTTTGCCACTGCTGACACTGCAGGACTCGCCTACGTGAAGTCGGAGCTGTAGAGGAGACACACGTGCACAGACCTGGGTGAGCTGACAAGCTATCTTGGCTTGCGGATCACCCGGGACAGAGCACGGCGCACCATCACCCTTACTCAGTCACACATGGTGCAGCAGGTTCTCCAGCGCTTCCGCTTCACGTACTCCTCGCCTCAGTCCACTCCGTAGAGCCGAGTGGCCCGTATCCAGAGCTTGTGGGCTGCCTCATGTACCTGATGACCTGCACTCGACCTGACCTTGCATACCCTCTTAGCATCCTTGCACGCTATGTCGCTCCTGGCCGTCATAGGAAGGAGCACATGGATGCCGCTAAGAGGGTGTTGCGCTACTTGTGCAGTACGTCGGGCATGGGGCTTGTGCTTGGAGGGCGAGACCGAGTTGTTCTCACAGGGCACTCAGACGCTTCTTGGGCAGACGACCAGGCCACTCAGCGGTCGTCTCAGGGTTACACCTTCAGCCTTGGCTCTGGCTCAGTTTCTTGGCGCTCTACACGCTCTTCTTCTGTTCTCGGCTCCAGTTGCGAGGCTGAGATCTACGCTACAGCCATGGCTGCCCAGGAGCTACGCTGGCTGACCTACCTGCTGACCGACCTCGGAGAGCGGCCTCGTTCTCCTCCAGTACTGTACGTCGACAACAAGGCTGCCATTGCCTTGTGTGAGGAGCACAGACTGGAGCACAGAACGAAGCACATCGCCCTGCGGTACTTCCTTGCTCGTGAGCTGCAGCAGCGCGGTCAGCTTTGTATTCGCTACGTGGCCACTGAGGCCAACACTGCTGATGTGTTCACCAAGGCGCTTCAGCCTCGTGACCATCAGCGCTTCTGCACTCTACTAGGCCTTGTGCCTACTGGACCTCACTTACTTACCTCTTGACTTTGCTTGTACTGTGATCACTATATATATCTATACCTGCATGTTTACTCTTGCTAGGTTGTGATCACTGTATCTCTTGCTCTGTTATAAACCTGCATGTGAACTGGTCTTGTGACCACTAGCTTGTGCTCGGAATTTGTGTGGAATCCTTGAGATCCACCCTGAGCTTGTTGTTGCCTTGCTTTGCCTTGACTGATCTTGTGACCCCTAGGTCTCCCCCACTTTGCCTATGGGGGTGTGTCAAACATTATACATGTTGTATTTGTGTAGGCTGTAGTGGGTTAGCCTATAGGGGGGTCACAACATTAGGGTTTCATATTTGTACTCACAATCCTTGCTAGTTCCATCATTCCAGTTCGTTCTCGTTGACAAGAACAACGTTAGCAAGAGGATAAAGAAGGGGAAATGAAGAAGAAAGACGGATGACGTAAGGAGAATCGAGAGAGAAGGTATAACCGATGGAGATGGAAGGAAAGGAAAAAAAAAATATGAGGAAACTAGAATAAGCAATAAAATCGAGGTAGAAAACGAGAGCAGAGAGGACGATAATCAGAGTGGTACTTATTCCAACTTGAGGTCAACATTGACATCTAAATCTCCGCAAAAATCTCCCTCTCATCTTTAATAGGCTTTAGAATAATAGTATCTAAAATTACCTAAGAAACTATGGTGATGTGGGTGGTGGGAGTAGCTTGACTATGGCATGAGTGGCGGCGGTGTGTGTTGGAAGAGAAAGGAGCGACAAAAAAGACTTACGAAACCCTAACACAATGATAATGCTGCCACATAGAGCTTTTTTTTTAACTTAATACAACGCTTTTTAGCATCAGAGTATTTTGGCGTTGACGGTAGGAAACGGAGAATTATGCAAGAGGTCAGAGGTTCGAGTTTTGGTAAGGGCACGTAATCATTTTGCACCCGACGGTTCGAACCGTGGACCGTCCGAGCTGACGAAATGTAAACTCGTCAAATCTCGTAATAGTATTCGCAGAGGTGTTGGCGACGTCGCCAACAAAACGGACTGTCGTGACACTTTTTCACATTTTCAGCGGTCCGCAATATGAACCGTGGACAGTCCGAAACCCAAACGGACGGTCCATCAGTCTTGGTTAGATATTGGCAGACGAAATTCAATGTACACTACCTCCTTATGATTGGCGAACGAAGCTCTCATGCGAAGTGTCGCAAATTCAATTACGAAGATATAGAGCCTCTAATGAGGCTACAGTTATTGCAAAATCTAAAACCCAAAAAAATGTCACATTTGCCTTCGGGTAGTCTGAAGTTGCAAAAATTCAATTTGGACTGTCTCGTTTTCGATAATAGGACCGTCCGCTCGATTTAAGCGGAATGTCCGTCAAAACCGTAAAAAACAAAATTGTTACGCGCCCTAAGTAAACTTTGAGCCCGCAACTTGTTTTACTGAAAGAAAGATGATTTTGATACAAATTTTGAGGAACATTGTGATGCATATAGATATCAGCGTCGGTAGCTCAGCCGTCAGAGAAAGGAATTAGAAGGAATAGGTCATGAAATCAAGTTATGTGAAAGAATTTTGCAAACTTCAACCACTCGAATACAGTTAATTTTATACTCAGTATAAGCAGCTGCACATGAAAAAAAAGTATTAATACAAAACAATATTTGAACTTTGCATTAGTTATTTATGTATTTGTGCAAACAGCTTCGCAACCATAAGACGATTCCGTCACCTCTTGTTTCTTATTCTACCGCATAGCCGGCTCTTTCGGATGGCAAGCGATTCTGAGAGCATCAACCGTAAACACCTTTCGACAAGGCGTTTAGGGCTTGTTTCTAAAATAGGTTAAATTATTTATTATTTAGGCGTGAAGTATCAGAAAATTTTGTGTACTTTTCCATCTGTTTTAACCTTGTCGGAAAGTGTTCAGGGTTGAATATTTTATAACTGCATGCCATTCGTAAGGGCTCTATTCCCAAGGATACAACCGAATAAACAAACATGAAATTCAAAACGTGCGTTTCGAGAAAAGTCGATTAATTGAAATCGGTACCTAATAAAACGTACAGTCGTGCTAATTATTTCGACTCGGAAAATGTGCTAGGCAGTACGTCATGCGTCAAGATTTGTCAAAATCATTTCGCGCCATCGGTTTCTTCTAGTTACCATTCGCGTTATCGTTTACCTGTTACCAAACGTGTGAAATGAGTTACCAAACGCTTTAAATTTTATTGTAATGGTTACCGTACACGTTATTGAGCCCAATGTAAGTTACCATTCGCATAATTTCCCTTTCCAGATGGTCGATCTCGCACGGCGGCAGTCACGGAATTAGCCTAACAGTTTGCACGCTGCCTCACGTGCACACACCGTCATGAGCTTCCACCGCTCGCTTAGTGCTGCGCTGTCGCTACTCTGAGTTGAGTTCGCTATGACGTGGCAGTGCCACGTGTGCGCGTCCCCATGCGACGGCCGTATTCGTTGCGGCGAGTGCGGCGTCGTCATCTACTGTAGCAGGCAACACCAGGTGCGCGCCGTAGAGCAAGCAGCGGCGAGGGCCCGCTGGCGCAGCGCGAGATGTCTTGCGCGCAGTCAAGCGCGCAGCTGCGCGAAGCCAGCCGCCCGAGGACCCACCTTTCTCGCCCCAGCCCTTGGTCCTTCACAGCCATGCGCGTCAAATCCCTCGTTGCACACACGTGGCGTCCTCGCAGCAGCCCTCGTTGCTTTCTCCTCTGCCTTTCCCCTTACCCGTCTCCTCCTCCCCGTCCTCCCCACCTCCTCACCCGCTCCCCCCTGCCCATCTTCTCCACCCCGCTCCTCTCTCCCCCTCTCTCCTCTCCCTCTCTCCTCTCCCTCTCTCCTCTCCCTCTCTCCTCTCCCCCTCTCCCAAACGATCCCTTCTTTGCCCCATCCCCCTACCTCAGTGCCGTTGCCCCATGCCCCATGCCCCATCCCCCATGCCTGCGCAGCATCCCCATGCCCCATCTCCCATCCCCCATGCCCCATCTCCCATCCCCCATGCCCCATCTCCCATCCCCCATCCCCCATCCTCCATCCCCCATCTCCCATCCCCCATGCCCTATGCCCCGTTCACCGTGCCCCGTACCCCATGCCCCATGCCTCATTCCCGTTGCCCCATGCCCCACACCCCATCGCCGGCCTGCGTCCCATCCCAATGCCCCATCTCCCATCTGCATGCCCCATGCCCCGTGCTCCATCCCCTATGCCCATGCCGATTCCCCATGCTCCATACCCCATCACCCATAGCCGCGCCCCATCTGCATGCCCCATAATCCCCATGCCCCGTGCCCCATCTCCCATCTCCCGTCTCCCATCTCCCATTCCCCCTTCCCCCACACATCATGCATCCCATCAGGCGGCCCACTGGCGGCAGCATGAGCTGGGGGGGGAGTGCGCTCGCTTTTCACTGCAGCTGCAGGGAGCACCGGCTGTCATGGACCTGCCCTTCCCCTTCCTGCACCTCTCCGTCATCCAGGTGCGTGCAGTGCGGTGCAGAATGGTGCTGTGCGGTTCTGTGGTGCGTTGTGCTCTGCTCTGCGTGTACTTTGCTGTGCCGTGCCGTGCCGTGCTGTGCTGTACTTGAGTCAACTTGATAGTCGCCTATCAATGGTAGTGTGCTTCCCTGTGCGACCATGCATGGAAGTGAGCAGTGTGGTGTCTTTCGAGTCGACTTAGAAGCCACCTTGCGTTTATCCATGGCGATGAGGGGAAGGGGGGGGATACAAGACCCACGACCAAAAGCTGGCAGCACAGTGTGCTGTGCTGCGTTGTGGTGCGCAGTCTGTGCCTGTTGGCACCGCCTTCCCCGTTGGCATGGCCCGTGCCTGCCTATCATGTGCCTATCATGTGCCTATCATGTGCCTATCATGTGCCTATCATGTGCCTATCATGTGCCTATCATGTGCCTATCATGCGCCTATCATGTGCCTATCATGTGCCTGTCATGTGCCTGCCATGTGCCTGTCATGAGCCTATCATGTGCCTATCATGTGCCTATCATGTGCCTATCATGTGCCTATCATGTTCCTATGACGTGCCTGTCATGTGCCTATCATGTGCCTGTCATGTGCCTGTTATTTGCCTATCATATCATGAGCCTGTTATTTGCCTATCATATCATGAGTCTGTTATTTGCCTATCATATCATGAGTCTGTTATTTGCCTATCATATCATGTGCCTGCACGTGCCTGTCATGTGCCTATCATGTGCCGATCATGTGCCTGTTATTTCCCTATCATATCATGAGCCTGTTATTTGCCTATCATATCATGAGTCTGTTATTTGCCTATCATATCATGAGCCTGTTCTTTGCCTATCATATCATGTGCCTGCATGTGCCTGTCATGTGCCCATGCCTGTGTGCTGCATGCGGGGTGCCTGTGTGCTGCAAGCGGGTGCAGGTGGAGCAGGGGCGACACACCATGTGCTCCTTCCTCGCTTTCAACCTGCAGTGGTGTCTGATAATCTCTTACCTTTATGCTGGATTAGGTGGTCCGTAAAGCGCCCTCTCCCACTCTCCCTCTCTCTCATCCCATGCGGGTTGCAGGTGGAGCAGGGGCGACACACCATGTGCTCCTTCCTCGCTTTCAACCTGCAGTGGTGTCTGATAATCTCTTACCTCTATGCTGGATTAGGTGGTCCGTAAAGCGCCCTCTCCCACTCTCCCTCTCTCTCATCCCATGCGGGTTGCAGGTGGAGCAGGGGCGACACACCATGTGCTCCTTCCTCGCTTTCAACCTGCAGTGGTGTCTGATAATCTCTTACCTTTATGCTGGATTAGGTGGTCCGTAAAGCGCCCTCTCCCACTCTCCCTCTCTCTCATCCCATGCGGGTTGCAGGTGGAGCAGGGGCGACACACCATGTGCTCCTTCCTCTCATCCCTCCGTCTGCACGCCCGCGGTCCCTACGCTGCCCTCTGCGGTCCGTAAGGCTCCTTGCCACTCCCCACCCTCTCCCATTTTCTCCCACCCTTTCCCACTCTCTCCACCCCTCCCATTCTTTCCCACCCTCTCCCACTTTCTCGCTGTTGGTACCTGTCTGTCTCCCTCTTGTTCACATCTCACCCTCTTCTTCGCTAATTTGTTTTCCTCTGCCTCTATTGCTCTCCGACCTCATTCTCTCGCCCATACTCGCTTCTCAAACCCAACAGCTGCTTTCTCTTGTTCTCATCTCTCACGCTGCCCCGGCAGGCTGCTCTTCCACTCCTGAGTCTCTACCCGCCACTGAGCAGGTCCAGCCTGACAACGGCCGGCCTGAGGAGGGCCAGCCTGGCAACGGGCGGCCTGAGGAGGGCCAGCCTGGCAACGGGCGGCCTGAGGAGGGCCAGCCTGGCAACGGGCGGCCTGAGGAGGGCCAGCCTGGCAACGGGCGGCCTGAGGAGGGCCAGCCTGCTCCACTCTCGCCCAGCAGCCCATCAGCCCCCCCCATCACTTGTGCTGCATCCCCACCCTCGCCCTCGACTCCCCCACGCCTTCACCCCACACGGTCCCCCTCCCTCCCCTCTCTGCCCTTTTCCTCGCTCTCCTGGCGCCACTACTACCTCTGGAGGGGCCTTCCCCTCCACTCGCCCGCTGCACTGCTGCTGCACACGGTATGGGCATGAGGAACAAATGGGCGTGAGGATTGGGCATGAGGATTGGCCATGAGGCATGTGCATGAGGCATGGGCATGGGGCATGGACATGGGGCACGGGCATGAGGTATGGTCATGAGGTACGGGCATGAGGTATGGTCATGAGGTACGGGCATGAGGTATGGTCATCCCCACACTGCCCCCTCCCTCTCGCCTCTCCCATTCTTGCCACTCTCCTGGAGCGACTACTACCTCTGGAGGGGCCTTCTCCTCCACTCGCCCGCTGCACTGCTGCTGCATACGGTATGGGTGTGAGGAAAAATGGGCATGAGGCGTGGGGTATGGGCATGAGGTAAGGGCGTGAGGTATGGGCGTGAGGTATGGGCGTGAGGTATGGGCGTGAGGTATGGGCATGAGGTATGGGCATGAGGTATAAGCGTGAGGTAACGGCGTGAGGTAAGGTGTGGTCTGGTGTGTGAGGAAATCGTTCCTTGTGTTCAAGGGCGATGGTAGTGACAACGATGCACACATTCACCATCCCACCACACTCCTCATCCCACCACACTCCTCATCCCACCACACCCACCACACTCCTCATCCCACCACACCCACCACACTCCTCATCTCACCACACTCCCCACCTCACTCCACTTCACTCCCCATCCCCAAAACTCCCGCTTGCCCACTCCCCCCCACACCAGGCGCTCACCATCCTCCAGACCTTCCACCTGCTCCTCCAGCCGTGCAATTCAACTCAAAACCCTCCTCTCACCCATCTGCCACCCTCTTAGTTGGATTTGACGCTGGAACAGGCCAGCATCCAGCGTCAAAACGGGCGTTTTGACGCTGGAAGCTCCTTATTTTTTTTTCGGGCAGCCCGAAATCGAGAAAAAAAGGTCGGCCAAAAAAATACATATCGGGAGTTAGCTCCGAAATCGCGACCCCAGATTGCACTCGACAAAGCACAAACACAAAGCTCACTTCAACAAAATCCAACCCTCCCACCCCTTCCCACCGCACTAGATCTACATCTCCCAACCAAAGCAGGCACATTAGCCCACTCCCCAACTAACACGACTTCACTTTAGGGTTTCGACCAGCAACATTGAGACATTGCAAGCTTTGATCGCGACGTTAGCTTTAGTGTTTTTAGCCTATCCTAGCTTACGCCATGACTTCTACCACGCCATAGCGATTTTAGCCTGCCCGAAAAGTTTATTTACCTGCCCGCCATAGCGTCAAAACCTCCGTCAAACTCACAGAGGGTTCCGTCCAGCGTAAAAAACGCACCGTCAAAACAGTAGCATAAAAAACGTTGGCTCCCTTGCCCACCTCTCCCTCCCCTCCCCCACCAGCCGCTCACTATCCTCCTCGCCCTCCACCTGCTCCTCCAGCCCTCCTCGTCGCCTCCTCCTCCCCTCCCTGCCACCACTCAAGCCCATGGCCCGGACCACACGCCTTCTCACACTGCAGCTGGGAGGGAGCAGAGGGAGGGACAGGAGGGGCAGGAGGGACAAGAGGGACAGGTGCAGAGTACACGTGCGGAGGGACAGCAGCAGCAGATGCAGCATCAATGTCAGGCGTGTGGGCTTACCACTCGCCCCTCCCTCTGCATCCACGTGCTTGGTGCGCCTCCATATGCTTGCACCAATCACCCGCCTTTCCTTTGCTTCAAGTCCAAATTTGTTCACCCATCATTTTTCTTGCCTTCTACAGCCCCAAGTAGACTCTGTGTGCTGGCTGTGTCTTCTCAACTTTCTCCCCCATCTCCATTCGGACCAACTGTCCTTCCCTATCGGTTGCCTTGCCTCATTCTGTCACACTTCCATGCATGCATGCTCGCACATGGGCGCATGTGACTTCACAATCCCACTGCCTCTCCTGCACGGCAATCAGGAGGGCAGGCAGGCAGGCAGGCAAGCAGGCAGGCAGGCAAGCAGGCAGGCAGGCAGGCAGGCAGGCAGGCAGGCAGGCAGGCAGGCAGGCGGGCAGGCAGGCAGGCGGGCAGGCAGGCAGGCAGGCAGGCAAGCAGGCAGGCAGGCAAGCAGGCAGGCAGGCAGGCAGGCAGGCAGGCAGGCAGGCAGGCAGGCAGGCAGGCAGGCAGGGAGGCAGGCAGGGAGGCAGGCAGACCTCAATCAAAATATAGCACACCTCATTAACCACCTAATATAGCGCCATTCACAACCCCAGCCATCTAGCAACAGCATAACCCGCCATGCACTCTCTATACCAACCACCATTTTGAAGAGAGTGAGTATGAGTCGACGCGAAGACCAACCATTACAAAACCACACCACTCACCATTCTCCACCAGTTCACAGCCCTACCATGCCCCTTGCCCCCTCAGCACCTCAAGAGCTGCTCGGGGGATAGGGGAGTGGAATGAAGTCGGGTCATTAAGGAAAGGGTGTGCTGTGAGGACTTTTTAAAGGATGGGAGGCCAGAGGTTCCTGCAAAGGTTGAGATGGTGGAAATCAATGACCAGGGAAGTAAAAGACTCTATTACTTGGCTTCGCCCGGACTTGAACCGTAGACCTTCAGTGTGTTAGACTGACGTGATAACCAACTACACCACGAAACCGATGCATGAAATATTGATCAAAACCCTATATCCATGCCCCCACGCTCTCTTCCCCCTTCCCCTTTTGAACTTCTCACCACCCATCCACTGCACTCCCCCCCCTACCTGCCTCTCACCATGCACTCCCTCTCCCTCCCACCACACCGTGCCTCTCACCATGCCTTTCACCACACTGCACCTGCAGGGGCGGACAGGGAGGCTTAAGAGGCGGCCTGGCATGCCTCTCACCGCACACTCCCTCTCCCTCTCACCATGCACTGCACCCACAGGGGCGGACAGGGAGGCTCAAGAGGCAGCTGCGCTGGCGGAGCTGCAAGTGCTGCTGCCCGGAGTTGACACTTGTGTGCACCTCATTGGCCCCAGCATACCCGCACACATGTGAGACCCAGCTCTGCAGCTCACTGTAGTGACGCTTCAGGGGTGGGAGCCCGTGAGGGGAGTGCGGTGAGAGAAGTGCGGTGAGGGGAGGCATGTGGTGCATGCATGTGTGGCGGTCGGTCCTTTCCTCCACGTGCCAATCACTGTGGGCTCACTGCTTGCGCCATACACCTGCATCCCCTGTGCTTGCTCCATGTGCCACCCATCCCCTTGCCTTAACTTCTCACCCTCACGCCGTCTTCATCCCTACCGCCCCCACCCACACGGCACCCCCTCTGCAGGCACGGCAAGCGAATTCTCCTTCAGGATCCTCCCGTCTTTGAGCCCTGCGAACCACAACCTACCGAACCACAACCTGCCGATCCACAACCTGCCGATCCACAACCTGCCGATCCACAACCTGCCGAGCCACAACCTGCCGAACCACAACCTGCCGATCCACAACCTGCCGAACCACAACCTGCCGAACCACAACCTACCGAACCACAACCTGCCGATCCACAACCTGCCGATCCACAACCTGCCGAGCCACAACCTGCCGAACCACAACCTGCCGATCCACAACCTGCCGAACCACAACCTGCCGAGCCACAACCTTCCAAACCACATCTCTCCGAGCCACAACCACCAGAAGCACCAGGCGGTGCAGCATGCGTGGCAGCAGCAGCAGCACCAACACCAGCAGCAGCAGGCGTGGCAGTGCACTTCCACCGAGGCCTCTACCACCACGTGCTGCCCTCGCTTGCCTGCCCTCCACTCGCCACTCCCCCCACGAGTACTGCTGTGTGCCCCTGCATCTTACTGCACCACTCACAACACGCATCTCCCCTGTATCACAGCGTCCAGCCCCAGCAGCCTTCCCGTCCCCACCACTCATCCCATCCGCAGCACCGGTCCTGCCACTGCCCCGCACTGCTGTTCCTTCCCAACGCGGGCCTGCCTGCCTTCCCCTCCTGGCGAGACACGCTGGTGCGTGAGAGGGGAGTGAGTCGGAGGGGTGAGTGAGAGGCGAGTGAGTGAGAGGTGATTGAGAGGTGAGTGAGGGAGGGGTGAGTGAGGGAGGGGTGAGTGAGGGAGGGGTGAGTGGGAGGTGGTGAGTTCAAGTTGAGTGACACTATGTAACCACTCCCTGCACACGGGCATCACTGCCCCTCGCCAGTCCCACATACTGCGCCACAGGATACCACAAAGCATGCTGCAGGGCTCACTCTCCGTCCCCAACCCACCCATTCCTCTTGTTGAGGCTCCTCAAATATCGTCTCACTCTCACTCTCACTCTCCGTTCCGCATACCCACTCCTCCCACCCGTCACATCACATCACACCACCCGGACCCCCGCACCTTCTGCCCCCCGCCCGGCCCTCATGCTGCAGAATAGGCTGCCAGGACT